TCCCTCCCTCCCTCCCTCCCTCCCTTACAGGATGCCTCCGAGGTCCTCGCCCTCCGCGATGAGCTCCTGTCGGACCCCTCTGTCGACAAGGGTCACCCCAACGACCACCTCTTCACCCAAGAGGGCTGGCGCGGTTTCCTCCACTCTTTTCTCACCTTCGAAACCTCCTCCCCTTTCACTCCCTCCTCCTTCCGAGCCACGAACGCGCAGAGCCCGAAAGCAGGCGGTTGGATGAGTGCATTCCTTTCCCCAGCCCAACGTGTCCTTGCCCGTCTGATGGGGAGGGAAGGAGGGGCGAGGGAGGGGGAGGAAGGAAGGACGGCCGGGGAGGTGGAGAAAGCGCCGCGGAAGTCGGCGGTCACAGGACAGGTGGACTCGGGCGTGGCCATCACGATCGGCGCGACGCCCAGGATGCAGGAAGGGGAGCGAAAGCTGAGCGCTACCGCCCGCACACCCCGGAGCGTGAAAACACCGAAGACGTCGGGTTCCCAGCGGAGCATGAAAACACCCAGGACGCCGGGTTCCCACCGGGGGAGGAAACGGTTGACCCGCCAGGCGGTGGCGGAGTCGGTGAGGAAGGAGATGCAGGGCTTTTTCGGATTGTTCCAGAGGGGGGGAAGCAAGGTGGAGGAGGAAGAGAAGAAGGAAGAGGAAGCGAGGAGGAAGAAGCGGAGGGAGAAGAAGGAGGAGGTGGGGGAGGAAGGGGAGGCGCGGAAGCGGAAGGAAAAGAAAGAGAGGAAGGAGAGAAAAGGTACGAAGGAGGGAGGAGAGGGAGCGGAAGGAGGAATGGACGAGAGCGAAGCAGGCAAGAAGAAGAAGAAGAAGAGCAAGAGGAAAGATAAGGACGTGCTGGGGGAAAGCAGCACCGAAAAGATTGATGAGGAAGGAGAAGCGGCGACCGAGGCGATGGTTGTGGACGAAGCTCCTCTCAGCGTGGAGGCTGCCGCGGTGGTGGATGTTCCCTTGTCCCCCACTGCCGTGGTCGTCGACTTACCTCCGTCCACCGACATGGAAGAGGAGAAGAACGCCGAACCCTGAGCTTTCCAGAAGGAAGGGGGATGGGGTCGGGTTTTAGGATAAAGGGGTGGAGGTGCGGTCAGAAGCGACCTGCCCGTGCTTCTATCAGGAACAATGGCTGCTCGTGTACTTGTCTGGGGTGGGCAGTAGGCCGAAGCCGAAAAGACGTGTCTCCAAATGGACAAGCTTTATGCAATGCGGGCATTGGCACGCGTGCAGTTCCCAGGTTTGGAGGTCGGAGCGTCGAAGAGAATTGGAGATTACAGATAGGGGATAGGAAGAAATGCGAGGAGAAATACCCGTGTATTTTCTTGATCGTAGGCGGGTTGTGATGTTGAACAGGCGATGAAGGGGTCTACATAGGGATGGGACTGCGTCATAGCAGAGGGGCGGCCAATAGGGTGAGGGAGAATGGATGTCACGGGACAAGCATAGACTGCCGGAATTAAGGCGGAGATTGGCAGACTCTCGCAGGTTTGGAGAATGTAGAGGAACGCGTGATCAAAACATAAGATTGGACGGATTCACTGGAAACGATATTTTGGTCAACTGTTGCGCTCTTGTTTTGCTCGCACAGAGTGAGGAGGTTGTTCATGCGGTTATAGTAGTACTCAACACCATCCCCTTCACGCCTAAGATTTTTATCCCACTCCGTATAATGCTCAAGAAATACATAATATGATTTGATGGATCCCCCTCGAAAGGGCGCAGTATGCGATTGACAGTTCTTGGAAATTAAGACAAAGAAAGATCAACACGAATGTATGGGCCGAGGAAATACCGAAACTTCTTGTCAGACCAAGCCACACTTTACCGCGTTCACAATCCTTGTGCCAGGCACATTTTCTTCCCTCATGAAGACACTTGATCTGTCATAATTTGTGCCTGGAAATTTGAAAAGCACTCGAGTTGTGAATGAAAGAGGAGACGGGGAAAATATGCGCGAGGTTAGATGTTCTACAAATATTGTCGACTTGAAGGTTGCGCTGCGATACATTCATATGTTAAAGGTTCAACCCCCGTAGCTGCAAAATGAAAGGCAGAATGAGGAACATTATAATGCTCGTCATGGCCTCGTGTCAAATAGGGGCAGGCATACAGAGCCTTTATGGGACTTCCCCTTTCGCAGACGAGAAAATGCAGGGCCCTCAGGTAAGCGTAGTGAGCCGTCCACACACCGCATGTGGTGGGTAATCCTAGACATGGCTTTCTCATGGCTTGGTCCACGCTCCGTTCATTCGACAGAATATCCCAGGCAAGGTCTGGATGGCTTGGTTTGATAGAGGAGGACAAAACGTCGCCTACCACTCTTACGATGATGTAAATCATGGTTCCTGCGAGCTAAACCCATGCACGGGCGTAGACGCGGTGTACAAAAATGTCTTTCGAAAGGTACGCATGCGTTGGAACGTAATGGAATAAGAAGATTCGAGGAAAACCCGGCATGGCAGGACACCAAAAAAGGTCCACCCTTGGACCCTCGGAGAGGTGCCTTTCTCACCTATTTCAATCCCGCCAGACGTGTCATTCAATCTCAAATTTCTCGCCCTTAGGAAAATAACTGTCGTGGCACGAATTGAAACCCATGCTTCTACCTCTTTTGTCACCTTCCTCTCCACACAGGACGAAGGCGCCTCTACCTCCTACACCAAACCTCCGAATGGGGGTTGGCCCGGCGATCGCTTCGCAGGGAACAACAGCCAGGTGCCCATCGATCAGATGTACTGGGGATGGAATGCTCTAGGTAAACTTCCCCTCTTTCTCTCCCTCGCTACTTCCCTCCCGGTCCAATATTTCCTCTCCTCGGACCCC